ATCTCTCCATCTTCAGATGTATCTCATAAGAAATGCAAATGTTGCAATAGACCTTTTGAAAATCTATACTATCACTGCTCTATGTGCAAGTTTAGTCTCAATTTCACTTGTACAATAAAGCCACCACTTCCCACTATTTCACACCCGAAAAGCCACAATCATACTCTCACTCTCTTTCCTAGGAGGATCCCTTTGCCTTGTGATGCATGCGGGTTGTCTCTCAACAACATCCATGATGTTGTTTACGCTTGTCTTCCTTGTAACTATATGGTCCATAGAAAATGTATTACTTTACCTCGTGTCATTAAGATCACCCGCCACCCTCACCGTCTCTCTCTCGTTCCCTCCCTTCCGTCTGGTGATTTTTCTTGTGGAGTTTGTCACCAATCCATTGATGTCAGTTTTGGACATTATTCTTGCAACAAGGGATGTCATTATGGTGTCCATTCCAAATGTGCAACCAGAAAAGTTGTGTGGGATGAAAAAGATCTCGAAGAAGTGCCTGAAGAACCCGAAAAGGACTTCGAATCATTCGAGTGGATCGATGAGGAGACGATTAAACATTTCACTCATGACCATCATTTAAAATTCCTAGGAAAGGGTATTGCAGGTGAGAAAAAGTTTTGTGAGGCATGCTGCCTTCCAATATTGGTTTCTGATGATATCTATAGTTGTATGCGGTGCAACTTTGTTCTCCACGAAGCATGTGCATGTCTTCCTCGCGTAAAAGATCATCCGCTGCACAAACATCCGCTTAATCTCCACCGATACCTTCCCTATCCTTATTGGTTTTGGGGAAACGATGTGACTAGAGGCATGTTTAAGTGCCATGGTTGTGAGCGTAGAGGTTCTGGTTTTGTGTACAGATGCAGCAAAAAAAGTTGTACATTTCAACTAGACGTCCGCTGCGCTTCCATTTTAGATAATTCAATCCATGAGAGCCATCCACACCATGATCACCCTCTCTTCATCAGTTTAACCAAAGGAGAATGCATGGGTTGTAAGTCTACTGACTGTTCAGGTCATTACCTAGAATGCATGATATGCAAGTCCTATTTGGGTCTTCACTGCGCTACTTTGCCAAGTGTGGCACACTATAAGCACGATAGCCATCCACTCACTCTCTGTTATGGCGATACAATAAGTGGTCAGTACTGGTGTGAACTATGTGAATTAAAATTAGATGCAAGTGAGTGGTTCTATACATGTGATTCTTGCAGCGTCACTCTTCATGTTATATGTTTATTGGGAATAGATATGTACATGAAGCCCCAGCATATCATCAAGAAAGGAGGTATAGAGGTTAAAATTACTCGCAGCGATAGTAACACTCGACCATTTTGCTATGAATGCGGTGGACGTTGCAGTCACAACTTGGTTTTCAAATGTCGAGATGAATATGTCTGTACTTTGCACTGTATTCATGGCTTTTTGAATAAGGGTAGCAAAAAAAGAAGCGAAGTGCGCGAGGGGTTCTTTCCGATTGATAAAATTGGGGTTGACTCGAGACTGCTGGAGATAGAGAGTTTCCTCAGCAAGCAGCCAAGTGATATCCGCAGCATAGGCATTTGGGGTATGGCTGGCATAGGCAAGACGACAATTGTTGAGGCTGCTTTTATGAGGATGAAAAAGGACTATAAATCCCCTTGCTTCGTCCGAAACTTCGGAAAAGAAATTAAAGAAAAGGGATTGTATGGTTTAAGGAAGCAACAGTTACCACTGTATGTGAGGAAGAAACATGACTTGAAGAGGTCGATTACCATCCATAGCCAACAGCAGAAGAAAGTTTTCTTTATTCTTGATGATGTGCACAAATCTACAGATGCAGAGTCTTTTCTGGGAGGGTTGGACTGGTTTGATCCGGGAAGCTTGATAATCATAACCTCCAGAGATGTAAATGTGCTTCGTCAGTGTAGGGTTAATGACATTTACGAGGTCAAGGGATTAAATGATGAGGAGGCTCTGAAGCTATTTTCGGGGTGTGTATTTGGAGAGATACTTCCCAAAGAGGGTTACCTGAAAATGTCAGAGATGGTGGTTAAATATGCTAATGGAAATGCTAAAGCTCTCAGCTACTACGGCAGAGAGCTGAAGGGAAAGACACCAGAAGAAATGGAGATGGCGTTTTTCCAACTCAAGCGATCTCCACCTCCCGAGATTCTTGAATTATTCAAAAGCAGTTATGATGAACTTAGTGATGACGAGAAGAACATATTTTTGGACATTGCTTGTTTCTTCAGGGGAGAGTCAGAGGAACACGTGCTGCAAGTTCTTGAACGGTATGGTTTCGTAAGTATTGGGTTCAAGAATCTTCTCCATAAGTCTCTTGTGTTTGTATCCGGAAAAAAGGTAGAAATGCATAAGCTGATACAAGATGTGGCCTGGGAAATTCATAATCAAGAAGTAAAGAATGGGAAAGCTCGCAGATTGTGTGGCGTTCATAGCATCCAACCTTTGCTAGAAGATGAAGAAACTAATTCAAATGGCAAACGCGGTTTGGTATGTCTCACTTTTCTAAATATCTGTGTGTAATAACCTTGATCTTTTATTGGATATGTAGCAACTTCTTAAGCCATTAATTGCTTTTTGCAGGACCGTGAAACCATAGAAACCATGTTGCTGGATGCATCTGGCTTGAGCTTTGTTGTTGACCCTGCGGCGTTCCAGAATATGGATAATCTTCGACTGCTGAAAATTTATAGCTCTGATCATGAACACCCTCCCAGACTCGATCTTCAAAAAGGTCTCCTATCTCTGCCTTCTGAGCTATGGCTTCTCCAATGGGAATACTACTTTTTACAGACCTTGCCAGAAGATTTTGATCCTGATACGCTTGTCGAACTCAATATGCCTTATAGTCAACTTCTAAAGCTTTGGGAAGGAGCCAAGGTAAGCAAAAGTTCGACATGCGTGCTTCTCTATCTCTACATATACTGTATGATGAATCCGTCAG